GGAAGTCCACAGTCCAGGGGACACATCTGGTGAGGGCCGCCTTCTGGATGGTAACGCATGCAGAGGAATGTCATGAGCAGGAGAACAAGTTCACTAATATTTTCTTCTGCAATTTATAATCCATCCTCAATCTTATCCAGTGTAGCTTTCTCCTCAGACATTCTGGTTTTCATACTTAGAAGTTTAATTTGGATCTTTCTTTCTACACCTCTACCTAACATTTGAACATATGGAATAGTTATAGTAACTGTTTGGTGTCATTAGTCCTGACCCTGCATGAGTACCAGTGCCCGCTAAGACTCTCAGATGGTTGTTTCCTCGGCTTCTTATAGGTTCTTTATACCCCTCAGGAGTTCCCTCTGCAGCTCCTCAGAGTTTTCTCTCTGTGCAGATCTCCCCTGTCTGATATCCTGTCCAACAAATTCTAAGTCAGGGTTTGAAAATAGCAAATATTTTGGGTGTTGTGGGTCATATGGTCTCTGTTGTTATAACTCAACTTTGTGGTTACAGCTTAGAAGTGGACACAGACAATATCTACATGAAATGGTGTGGTTGTGTTCCAATAAAACTTTATTTACATAAGAGCTCATGACAGTTTGCCAACATCTGCTCTTCTTTGGGCTTACTGGACTCTCAACTCAGTCTTCCTCAACTCTGGGAGTCCTCTGGGTTCATCTTGGCTTCCTCCTTACTGTGACACAGCCTAGAAACTCTTGAGGGAATAAACTGAGGCAATCATATGGCTTGCCTGCTTTGTTTCCCATCTCTCAGAAATCATGGCCCTTGGTTTTCAACTGACTTGAAAACAGTTGTTTCATACATTATTTCAATTTCTGTATGTTGTTCTTTTAGGCAGGAGAGTAAATGTGATCCCTGTAATTCCATCTTGATGGAAAGTTACTACTCAACTAGAACCTCAAGAAACAGCCAATAAAACTAAATAATATTTTTAGCCAAAATCTGAGATCAAATTAAAATGTATAAAAGGTTCTCTGCACCCTTCCTATATTAACTTTAAAGGCAGAGAAAACCAATTATTCCCCCAGAAACCTTAGGGAAGTTCTATAGATCTCAGTGAACTTTCTGTTGTATATCAAAGCTTTATTTCTGTAGAATGAACGCACATATCCATTACTGTTACAAATAAAACTTAGTTAGTTTAGGGAGGAACTTCTCACATACCCACAGATTACTTTAGAAAGAAGAACAAAGTCTGACACTCCACACAAAGCTAATCAATGTCAACAACTTAAAAATACTGCTACTGCTAAATTACCTGAAAGAAAAGGAGGAAACATTATTTTTCCCCTAAATAACATTTTCCCAAGTCAACTCAGTAAGCCCTGCTTTTAATTTACAGTTTGGAAGCTCTAAAGCAGACTAAAGAAAAAGTTATTGTCTGTTTTGGGATTGTATCCAAAGCTGGTTTATATTTATTGGTCTGTTCTAAGGTTTATCTTTGTTTCTGGCAAAGGAATACACCATAATAAAATGCCTATGTCAGAAAAGGTAATTTTTATTTTGAAGGGAGAAAGCATAGTACTAACAACAAAAATCACTAATCTCCTCTGCTGTAATCTTTTTACAAGCTATTTCCAAAATTGTTATGATCGAGGCAAAACATTTTTCAATTATAGATTCTTAACTTTTACCTTTACCCAGCTAAATAGCAAGATTAAATTATCATCCATACATTTAATTTACATATATAAATTAATCTACTAGGTTGAACCATATGAAATTGCTGACATTAGATCTATTTTACTTATTAAAAATGGCAGCTTTTTAGCCCTTTCTTCTCATCCTGTTGACTGGCAAAAATGGCAATTTCATATGGTACAACCTAACAACAAAGAAGTCATCTCTGCCTCCATGGCGACCTCTGTATGGAACATTTTAGTATGATCTAGTTTGTGGTACACCAAAATTCCTCAAGAAGCATCAAAATTCCTCAATTTTGGTCACTCCATTCAATTAATACAGGTAGGAAATGTTACTATAGTTAAGAACACAAAATTTGGGATATTTACTTACTTTATTTTAAAGTTAGGTAAAAAGTCTTTAGTGGTTCAAGCAGGTGCCCATTTGCTTCCCCCACCAGCTGCCACCCTTTTGCCACACATGCACAACTTTGTTTATCAACTAGCACTGTATTTATTATTATTACAAGGCTGGAGGGGGAGCAGGGATTCCTTGCTAAACATCCTGCTGTCCTACTCTCATCTCCTTGAGACAAAGCCTCTTTCCCATTTCCAGTTACATCATTTTTTGTCTACTATTACTGTAATTTCCGGAGTTTGTGCAAGTCTGCTTCACTTGGTCCACAGATCCAAATGCTTGCGAGAGAAATGCCTGAAACATTTGTAAAGGCCTTCTCTTTAAACTGCCATAAGTATTTCCTTTACTGATTGTATTTCAGGCTTTTACTCCTCTGACCCAAATGTCCATGTTTTGCATATTTGATTGTCATAATATATCAGCATGTCCAGGACTCTCAAATAGCTTATCTTTAGATAAGAAAACCTGACTTTAAAATCCAGGCTAATTCTGTATCTCTCCTCTCAATGTAAAGAAGCAATATAATAATTATTACAGAATTACCTGCCTCAGATTGTTTATATCTATAAATTATGTCTATAGTAATGTTTTACAAGGTAAGAAAAAAATACATTTAAGTCTGTCACTTAGATAACTAATATTACGACGTGATCAGAATCACAGTCAGAATAGGTATTCCATTATTAATGGTGAAAACTATCAAGAATTTGTGAATTTTATTGAAGTGAATTTTATTTGAAAATATGTACTTCTAAGATAAGAAACAAAGGCATATGATATTTAAATGCATATATCGTTTTACTGTAGACTTTAGCACTGTTTCATTGATCATCATAAAACCTCTATAACACAAGAGCAAGTATTACGATTGGTATTTTACATTTAACAAGTTTTTGAGAGGTGGTTTAGAACTGGAGCCTATGCCTTTCATCCCTATTAAAATGCTAGTCCATCCAGAATTCAGAAGGTATGCAATGAAATGTACTGTACCAAGGTACTTCAAAAATTTGATGGAAAGATTTGTATTATCTGTATTTCTATTTTCCACAAACTTTTTCAAATACCCTTGTATTCCACATTTTAATTAGAAAATATTGATTCATCAGTAGTACTTTCTTTCAAATTGTTCCTAATTCTTTTCTATTTCAGTTCTTCACCATCTCACAAGTCTTTCCTGTCTTCTCAGTGATAACAGCCTTAATTAAAGCTCTCCTCTCGCTCTAATCTAGCCTCCACTCCCTTCCTCTGAACTTCCAGCAGCAACGCTGCTGGAGTAATCTTTCTAAAATGCAATTCTGATAGTGTCAATCCTGTGCTGGAAAGCATTTGATATCTTGCTATTGCCAACAGTGGTGATTCCGAAACTGTGAACCTAGGGATTTTTGTTGTCCTAAGAATTGGACGAAGGTGTTGAGAGCAGCCAAAATCAAGCAATCCCAATCAGCTTAATCATTGGAACAAAAATTAAGAGATAGAGATAGTTGCATTTTTTTGCCCATATCTTTTTCTCAACTATTTCAGACTTGTTACTGTTTGTCTACAAAATAGACCTAATATGTATTAAGATAACAAAATGAAACCAAAATTAACTCTGAGTCAACTATACTTAATTCAACAATTATTTTTGTCCCTTTTGAGAGGTAGTAGAAAATGTGCTTATGATTTTTATTTGATATCATATACAAGTCATATTTTTCCCGTTCATATGACAGGTAAATACATTTTTTAAAAACCTAAACACTAACAATGTCTATGTACTCTGCTTCTTGAACCAATCTGAAAACCAATTACATATTATCTTTTTGTGAGGCCTCTGGCAACTTATGTCAACTGCTCTCATAGGCCAAAGTATAATCATCTACTGATACTAGTATTCCATTTTATTATACTTTTTTACTAAATGTCTGTCTCCCTAACTAGGTATTGAATTCATTGAGGATAGAAGCAATATACAATACTAAATCTCAAGTGCCTGATACATAGTAGACATTCAATAAATAAGCTCTAGAATAAGCAGTAAATTCAACTATAGAAGAGATCAAGACGGTCATCAATTACAGTTGTGGAGTTTCACAATTTTAGGGCAAAATTTATAAAATTTTTGTTTCTCATATAATATCAACACATTATAAAAATGAAATAAAATAGTTCTAGAACTATTTTAATTCATGCTTTATAATACAGCAGGCAAGATAAGTTGAATACAACAAACTCCATTATAAAAATGTCAATGTTGATTTTTAAGATGTTTCTTAAAAACATTCAGTACTCAGAGCCATCAAGTTACATTAAGTATTCAGTCCAGTTTACAAAATTGAGTTATAATTGTAAAGAATTTTTAATTCTATGAACCTAAAGTGGATAATAAATATTAAATTGTCTTTTCATACCTCCCATACTAAAAAGACTGTGTCTAGCTCAATGAACACAGTTCAGTCTCTATAAACATTAAGGCTTAGACATGAAAGTAAACAAACACAAAAACCAGTGGAGTTGAAATCACTACTTCATTACTGCAAGTAAAATTCTACAGAAAGAAAAACCTGCTAGCATAGCTTTCACAGTGAAAACTTACCTTTTTCATGTTAGAAATAGATTCCAAGCTTTATAAAACTGTTAATTATATCCTAGTATTTTCATGTTGTTCTTTGTTTTCATTTTAAATGTTTAAGTCTACGAGATATTCCCCATCAACTTACCCATTCTCACTGCAGGGGTATATTTCATAGGCAGGAAATATAAGCAGCCAGAGACACACCGAATGTGTGCTAAAGCTTATGGTTTACATTTTGTATTGAATATCTTACTCGCCTCAATCAGATTGTTTAAGACCTATGACCTATGGACCAGTGGTAATGTGCATGGTTGTTTTAAAAGTCAGCATTTTAAGATGAAATCTAAAAAGACCATATGGAAGGAAAAAAACAATCAGAATTACTTACGGCCAGCAAGCAGGAATTGATAATACTGTACTGCATCTGCAGCGAGGAGCAGAGGGTGGTTTGCATTAAATGGTGGTTGCAATTCATTCCATTGAGGGGTTCTAAGGAAACAGCAGAATATTAATATTTAAGCTTAATAGATGGGATGTAAATCACCATGACTGTCATCACTTACAGACTGATGTAAACTCACACTATTTTTGTGATCATTAAAATAAACTTCTAATTATTAAAATGAATGTGCTGAAACCTGAAACACAGGCCATGTGATTAAAAAGGTGGCACTGTGTCATACAAATTACACAGAGCCAATATTAGCTTAACTGCAGAAGACCCTTCAATAGGTTAGATAATACAATCAGAAGATTGAACAGAGAGGAAGTGAACTCAAATGTTATAGTTCTAATTTTATGTAACTTCTGACCATTGTTAGACTTCTTTATACTTAGAATATGTGTATATTTTAAAATAAAATGAAGAGGTAAAAATGGTTAAAAAAAACACAGCTGTGTAAATGAATGGCTTATTACATATCTAATTAGCATCCGACTTCCAAAATAAGCCACTATTTCAACAAAGATAGTGCAGTAACTTTAATTAGACCTGCCCACTCCTAAATAAGCTTGATGAATCAATCAGACTCTGATCAGATCAATCCAGTGCAATAAAATTGTAGCAAAGAACGATGGAGCCTACAAAAATCAATATAAGGATATTTAAAATGTCAAAAGGAGAGTGATCATTTTCATATCCATTTTTGTCTGTTTCCTTCATAAATGTCAGGTGCAATTTTTTCCTCTCCTGGACAATGCACTATAATGAGCAGGTTTTATTCCAGGTTTCTTTCTCCCTCTTTGTGTTAGCTCATGAAGATCCTAATCATTATGCACTTTTGAAATGGACTCAGGTTCTTAATAAACATTTCTACAATGCTTAACCATCGTATCTTGGGGAATCACTTTAAAGGAAACTTTTGAATCTATTTATATTAGTTTCTATTCCCCTTAATGGCTGTTTCAATGCCACTCTCTGTTTTCAGTCAGCATAAGACTGCAAATGGGAAACATAAGTCCAAAAAGGTAAAACAAAGGTGCAAGGATAAAGAAGTTCAAACGGAAGTATTCTCCAAGGCATATACCCAAGACAGTCAAAAACATATATGCCCGTGCAAAAATCTGTGCATCAATGTTCACAGCAACGTCATTAATTATAGCTAAAAAGTAGAAAGGCCCATCAACTAATGAAGAGAGAAATGAAATGTGGTCCGTCCATATAATAGAATACTATTTGGCCATAAAGAGGAATGAAGTTCTGGTACATGCTACAACATAAATGGACCTTGAAAACATGCTCGGTGACAGAAGGCAGACACATACTGTATGATTCCATTTATAGGAAATAACCAGAGTAGGCAAATCCATAGAGATAGAAAGTAAATTGGTGGTTGCCTAGGGCAGAAGGGTTGGGGGAGAATGAGCAGCACCTGTTAATGGGCACAGAGTCTCTTTTGGGGGTGACAAAAAGTGATTATAGTGATGGGTGCACGACTTTGTGAAAAGTCACTTTCAATGGATGAATTTTATCATATGCAACTTATATGTCAAATGGAGAAGTAATGAACTATTGTTTTCCTAGATAGAAGCCACATAAAAAATAGCACACACTGTATGATTCCATTTATATAAAATTCTAGAAGCTATAAACCAATCTTTAGTGACAAAGGAGGGAAAAAGAAGGCAAAATTACAAAGGGGGGCAGAGAAATATTTGAGGTTAATGAATATGTTTATCTTTTTTTTTTTTTTAGGTTGAAATCATAAGGAAGTTTTTATTAGGTCCTGTAAAGAGAAATGCTCAGTTGTCAAAAAACTACAAACAGATCATATGAATGTGGTGATGATTTCACAGCTGCATAAATGTCAAAACTTATCAAATACTAAATTATTAATCTTCTATATCTCAATAAAGCTGTTAAAAAAAAGAAAGAAGGAGGTACTACCTAACCAGAGTCCAGCTGGCTCGAGGTGATGTCATCATTTCCAATGGAGTGTCATCGCTAATTTTGGGGGCAGTGCTGAGGGGTCGCGGTTCCATCATATGCTCCACTAAGGTCCCATAGCAACTGATAACATATAGAGACTCAACTATGACTTGTTTGGACTGATCTAGAAACAAAAAACCAGAATCTGGATGTGTAATAATGGCATAAAAGGAGAAAAGCATAATTTTAACAAGTTATCAGCCTTGTCAGTCTGCTCCTGAGGCTGCTCAGAGAATGAAATGACAGGAATTTTTTCATATGGTGCTTGCTCCTTGCCTAAAGTTGCCTCTTATACATAGATGCTAATAAACATGAAAATCTCTATGCTATCAAAATATTTTCAAATCTTGGGCCGGCCCGGTGGCGCACTGAAGAGTGTGCTGCTTGGGAGCGTGGCGGCGCTCCCGCCGAGGGTTCGGATCCCATGTGGAGACCGGTTCCCGCTCACTGGCTGAGCGCGGTGCGGGCACGACACCGAGGGTTGTGATCCCGTTGCCGGTCCCCGGTACGGGCGCGACACCGAGGGTTGTGATCCCATTACCAGTCAGTAAAAAAGACAAAAAGGAAAAAAAAAATATTTTCAAATCTTAAGCAATTTATTTCAGGAATAGTATAAGTATGCTCAAAATTCTAATATAGTATAACAATATTTTACAGTCTTCTGTTTTTGTCTACCATGCAATTTATCCCAGATTATGGAAATGAATGCTGTCAGGAGGGACAGGGAAGGACTGAGCAAAAAGGGAATCATGTATGGGCAAAGATTTTGTTACACCGGATGTACCCACTAAACTGCATAAAAGGCTACCTGCATACCTAAATCAGCTTAACGTCTTATTTACTTTCTCTTCGAAAACTGAAATTTAAAACTTAAATTTTCTGATCAAAACAAACAATAAACCCCCCCACACAATGTGTCGATATTGGTTCATCACTTGAAACAAGTGTACCACTCATGGGGGATGTTGATAAAAAAGGAGGCTATGCACATGTGGGGACAGTAGGTATATGGGAAATCTCTACACCATCTGTTCAATTCTAAAAAATGAAGTCTATTCAATATGCACACACATTCATACACGTTCCCCTCCCCCAAATCCTCTTACTTCTTTTCTCTGAATGGGATCACTGGTCCTGTGGTAAATGAAGATCAACCACACTTTGGGAAGTCAGATGCTGAATATGGATCTAATCAAATGACTTTATAAGGAATACACATGTACTCACTACTAAAACAGGTTTAGTCCTCTATCTCAGGTTTTACAGTAAACCTAGGAGCATATAAAATCACTCATGAATGCTGGGTGGGTCATCTTATCTCTTTGTCAGAAGACTCAATTACAGCTGATTTGAGAAAATGGCTAATGACCAGCTAGTGGGACATAAAGCAGCAGCAAGTTAAAAGGGTAATTAGAACAGTAGGGAGAAACATTTGAAATCGAGCTTCACAGAAGTTTTTAACTAGTAACAAAAAGTCCTTTTGATAGCATCATTAAACCTAAGGAGGTAACAAAAAAATAAAGATGGGATAAGGAAATGGAAGGCTTGCATACTTTACAGTATCCTCTCCCTCTTACGCAAGAAACCTGCTGTGCCTGAGATCCTATTACTACAGAAAGGGTCACTGAAAGGCGGTAACAAGGGAATGGGCTCATGTCTGACTGCCAGTATCAAGCGTAAAGGAAAGCCATTTTGCCAAGAACAATACAGCCTGTGAAACTCACCAAAAAACTGCCCCAGTAACAAACCTGTTTTGTGTCCTTCTTTAATAATACCAAAATAATAAGGAAACAGTCATAACTTAGCATTCCAAGTTATATACTTGGTCTATGAATGCAGGCATTCTCTTCTACAGAGACAATAAGGAATAACATACTAAAACATTAATTATATAAACATTTTAGGTATTGATCTTGGTGATCAATGCAGAGAAATCAAAATAGCAATGGTAACCACAAAAGTTGACCCTTACTTCGCAGTGGCAAGCTATTTCTTAAGTTTTAAAAATATGGCAGAGTTGTTGCCTTTTAAAAAAAATCAAGATTTAGCATTAGAAAACCAGGAATCAAACTCTGACTCCATCACCTTCTTTAGTGCTTCTAGCTAAGATATTTAAACTTGCTGATCTTAAATTCTTCATCTCTAAAATAGGTATAACAAGGTTTTTCCTCCCTACACTTTAGAGACAATGGTGTGCAATTAGTTTGTAAAAATGTAAAAGTTGTAATATGGGTATGGAATTAACATCATTGAGATCACCTGTACACTGTCACCAAACAATACAAAATCACTAGACAGTTAATTCATTCTATGTTTCTAGTGAAAGAATAGCTTTTCTTTTTGGGTAAGCTTAAGTGGTTGAGGAGAAACAAGCTAATGAAATTTTAAAAATTGGTTTCTAGACTATTGATACAAGATTACACTAGGGGAACTGCTATCAGTTTTCCTTAAGAAGAAAAAATTATAATGGCAAGTTCAAGCTTCAGTAAAAACACATACCTTTTTCTCTTTTCAGACCTGCATTATTTGCAAACCATGACCTGGATGTCCCAAAGATAGCAGCCACACAAAATTCCCCGCCCATCGATTTGCTGGGTGAAATTTGCGGAGGTGGTTTAACTTTGCTTAAAAAATAAAATGACAGATAAAAAAAAAAATTACCATGATGAAATGACAGTCCTCTAAATAATGACAGATTTTCCTTTAAATTCCACCCTCCAATATGAACATGCATTTTGCCTTAAGTTAATAATGGTGATGTGAGACTATATTCTGGAGTAAAAGTAAAATTAGTTCAAAGTTCCAGAGTCTTGTCAACAGAACAACTTATGAGACCAATAAAAACTCCTTTTTGAAGTATGTGCTGGCAAAATCCAAGTCACTTCTTTTCAGATGGATGACATTTCTCTGGAGATTTCAAATTGGAGCAGTAGTACTAGCATAAAAATCCCACAAATAATAATGTTTTATTATTTCATTTTGATATATAAGACATGGGATTAACAATACAGATGAACGGAGCCAGCATGTGTGAAAATGAGATGATACAGAATGAAACCTTGAAAATGCTCTCAGCCATAATGCTATGTACAGTTAGATAATGTATGCGGAGAAGATATGCAATGATATTCACTGACTATCCTATCTGTTGTCTCTTTTTCTTCCTTGATTTGTGAAAAATGTGTCTATTTTTATTCAGGGAAAAGACCAAGGCATAGTTAAATATTGATAGTCTCTAAAATATAAATCTTTTCTGTTTCTCATATGAGGACACATTTAGTAATTGCTATTACTTCATATAACAATCATTAAAAAGGACTTGCTTTCCTCTTTGTTTACCACTAATAAGCTTTCATACACCCAACATCTAATACACATTTCATCTTCTTTCAATTCCTATATTTCTGTTCTCTTTTGATTTACCAAGGGCTTCCCCACAGCTCATTAGAAATTTTGCCAACTACCTTATATAAACTATTTTCTCTAATTCATAGACCAGAAAATAGCCTCACTGTGCACTGGTCAAGATCACAGCCCACTTGGGATACACTGAACACTACAGCTCTCATGTTCCTGCTCTGCAAGTCAGTGTCCAACGTCAAACAACATTATTTCTACCTGCTTTTGCTCACCTTCCTTTATCCCTTTACTTTTTAAAAAAGTATGATGGGATGTAAATAGATTGGTTTTTGGAGTCAGGAAGAAACCTGAATTTGAATCCCAATTCTGACATTTATTAGCTGTGTCACTTTTGGTTATTGAACTCTCAGAGCTCAGACTAATATGTAATATATAAATAGTAATGCCTACCTTATAGGACTGTTTTAAGGATTATATTATATCTGTTCTCAAAGTGTGGTCCTTAGCTAGTAGTACCACCTGGGAACTTCTTAGACACGCACACAAATACTAATCAGGTCCCATCCCAGATATGCTAAATCAGAGATTCTGTGTTTTTTAACAAACCCTCTAGGAGATTCAGATATATGCTCAAGTTTGAGAACCACTGTATTAGATAAAGCAAGTAAATCTCCCAGGGCAGTCTTTCCCACATGATAGCACTCAACAGATCTTAACTCTCTTCTATATAGCACACGGCTCTTGCCTAATTTACAAAAACTCAGGCTTTGCTTTTGTAATCTCGGTTTCCCAGTTCCTATGACACTTGAAATAGTCTCGCAGATATCTTATTTCCTAAGGCTTCTGTCTTGATATCTTCCCACTAAGGAAGCAAAAAGTTTTCGGTCTCCCTCTCTGAACTAAATCCATGGTAATGTACATTGCTATATATGAAACAGCCTCTTCATTCCATCATTAACATTTCCTGAACACTTTACATTGTTCCCCAAACGAATCACATCCATGCCTAAAATATCAACACCAGTTGCAGTCAGACTATAATGACAGGGAATGAAGACATCATTTCTTTAAAAAAAGGTTCTGTAAGGACATGAATCTGGTCCTACAAACAGTTTCCCTTCTTCACTGTTGCATCTCTGTCAACAGCAATAACCTACGTCCAGAAAAGAAGACTCCCGTCTATCCCACACCGGAACAAAAATGCACCTTCCCTTGATATCTGGATCACTGGCATCAGAATTGTTCTTTCTGGTTATGATGCCTCTGTTGCACTACCTCAGAATGTAAGTTTTCCTTCAAGGCTTTTATCTTCATCACTGAGATACTATCATTGAACTGACAAATTCTTGTAATGACATCTTTGAAGTGCCATTTGGTCATTTTTAACCCTTAGAGATTTGGGAATGCTGGGGGAAGGAGGAGGGAAAAACCATTCTAGAATTTTTTGAAAGGTGTTGGCAATTGTGTGACTGTGTGCTTTTACTAAAATCACCATCAGGGAACAATACTACTACAAATAAGCATCACAGAGGCAAATTCAAAGCTCTCTGCAAATTACTGGATATGATTTCCGTTGTTTTTAAATTACGTGGTAACTGACAAGTGAGTATCCACTTTTTAAGAGAAAATATGATTCCTCGAAAGTATGCATCCTAAACAGACTTAAAAATAGTTGCTACTGGGCCGGCCTGGTGGCGCACTGGATAGTGCGCCGCTTGGGAAGCACGGCGGCGCTCCCGCCCGAGGGTTCGGATCCCACATACAGGCCGGTTCCCGCTCACTGGCTGAGCGAGGCGCGGGAGCAACGCCGAGGCTTGCAATCCCGTTGCCGGTCCCTGGTCCGGTGCGGGGGCAACACTGAGGGTTGCGATCCGTTGCTGGACACGGAAAAAAGACAAAAAAAGACAAAAAAAAAAAAAAAAAAAAAAAAGTT